TGTAAAAGTAGAACAAACTTAATCTAAGTCATTGAGAGATGTTAATTCCATCTTATTTAGGTTGGGTAGTAGATATAATTAGATTTTTTTTTATTTTATTCACTATTACGGTGGTTGTATATTTACAAGTTGTTATTATGGTGAAAATTATTTACTAACGAAACATATTTTTGGTTATGTCCATTATCAGTGGCATGGAAATCTTATTATTAATGGTGTATTTTTTTTAATGATATTTCAAAAGGTTAATTTATTCATAAAATTATTTTCAATTTAAATTCAAATTTAAAAATTTTATTTTATTAATTATAGGTTTTAGAGTCTAATTAATATTGGTTTTAATGAGATATAATATCTTGATCATTATAGTTTTAATTAATTTAAATTATTAAACACTTTAAAATTAATTATTTTTAATTTTTGTGGCTAATTAAAATCACAACGACCAATATTTCCTTTTATAAATATCGAGAATATGTAGGAGTTAGTGACAATGAACATTGGTATTTTATCTCTTTTCTTTATGTTTTCTCTTTTTTAGGTTAAAATCTATCAATTTTACATCCTCAATAGAGAGTACTGGTGAATAAGTACTTTAGGATGACAACAAGCAAAATATTAAAGTTATCTAATTATATCAACTATCAAATCATTTCTGAAAAATAATTTAAACAAAATGGAATTACCATCTCTTAATAACTAAATTTAGCTTTCTACTTTTACATGGACTAATTTAATACAAAAAGAATTGAAAAATCAAAAACGAATTTGAAGAATTTTAGGGAGACTAAAAGTAACTTTTACCCTATTTTTAATTTATAAGTACTAATTAGTGTCTTAAGGATGATTAATTGTAAAATTTATTTATTAAAAATCTAAAGATTGATAGTGTTATTATAACAACTATTAATAGGTTTGAACTACTAGGATCGATCTAGTGATAGAGGATTGAAATAGTATGCATAAGATCTTATGTTCAAACCTTGATGTCATCATTATAATTTTAATAAATAAAAAAGTTATTAAGAGATTTGTGTTTATTAGTAAAATTAGTTACAGATAAAGTTAAGTTTTTTTTCATGTTAAATAAAATTAAAAAAAAAATTAAATAATATAAATTATTTATAAATATTTATTTATTTTGAATAAAATAGTTATAAATGAAAGAAATTTAAATATTTTATTCAAATATAAAATTTTAAAAAAGAAGGAATTTGATTATCTTGTATAATAAGAAATTTTGAAAATGAAGAAAATTAATTGAAGCAATTAAATTTAATTGCTTTATCCAAACACAATTTTTTTAAATGAAGGAATTTAATTTATTTATTCAAACAAGAACATTTGAAAAATGTAAGAATTTTAATTGAAGCAATTAAATTCTCAAGAATTTAAATTCCTTTAGAATTCTAATTTTTTTTTTATCAAAACACAATTTTATATACCTCCGCCTTTTAGGTCAAGTCTTCTACTCACATTTAAGTTTTAACTCAATAACTTATGACTAGGTTAAATCTTAAGGACTTAAAATTAACCTAAATATCTAACCAAGTATTTTTACATGAAAAACGGGATTCATAGATACAAGAATCGATTGTCACTCAATCCACTAGTCAGAACTCAATTCAAATTAAGGGAATCAATTTTTAAAAGTTAAATATTTTTTAGAGAAATGATTTCCTCTCATAGGAACTCTTTCAAAATTAGTTCCAATTCTTAGAAATTTTCTTATTTACATTTAAAAAAAAATTGATAAATATGAAATGAACTGATTTTGGATATTTTTTGAACACTATACAAGAACATGGCTTCTCTAGTAAAAAATATATTAACTAAAAATAAACAAAAGACAAACTAGTGTTTTACAAAAATTCAATCTAATGAACCAAACAAAGACAAACTCTATTAATTGCTAGATTGTTAGGAAAAGGTTAGTGACGAGAGAATCATAAAGTTAAGTTATACCGTTATAATTTAAGAAAGAGTAAAGCTAGAAAAGAAAAGGATAAGGTTAACATAGGAAAATAAAAAAATGAAATCTCATACGTTTTATTTTCATATTAAAGAGAAAAATAAAAGAGAAAGACTTTGGGAGACAAAGACTTCATTTCTTCTTCTTGTCATCTTATAAACCTTGAGTCTTCCCCTAAGTTAGTCATTCGAGTCCTTAATAGCTAAAGGATGTTAAATTAAAAGACAATATTGAATCTCTTAAAATATAAATTTTAATGCTAACAAACTTGAATGTTTTGGGTAAAAAAATGATTTTTAGATTACATAAGAAGACAAATTTAAATACATTATTAATTACAATGATGTGTAGTTTATAAGATGAATGTATTAAATATATATTATTTAATATATCTGATGACTAAATTATATTTATCTATGTTATTCCTTAACATATTGAAAGAATGAAAGTTTTTTTTTGGTACTTAACTTCAAAAAGGAAGAGATTTACTTTTTGTCATAGAAATGACAAGTAGATATCTCGAAGTGTACAAAGTTTTAGATAAAGTCATTTTTTATTAACATACGCAAAAGTTCCTCTCATTTTGTACCTTAAATGTGATAAGTAGTATTCTTGATTAGATAAAAAGTGACAATTTGGTGAAATGTATTAATTATTCGTCTTTATTGCACTAATAGACACTTCTCTCTACAAGGAAAGAAGACAAAGAAAGATAAAACAAGCCTATGAGAGAAACTCAAGAATTTGCAATGATTATCCTTATGAATCACCTATATAAAGAAGTTTGAAAACTCAAAGAAAAAAGAATGACTATTGTAAAATTCATTTCATTCTTTTCTGTAAATCTTTGTACTTAAATTGGTTGTATCACGTCTTGTGAATAAGACAAAATAACAAATGATTTCTTAGGTTTAACTTTGTGTTATAACTTGAAGTCTTAAAAAACTTTATTATAAAGAATATTTGGTTGTTGAAACTTGAAACCTAGAGAGACTTTATTCCTCAAAGAATACTTAGATAGTTACTTGAAAAAGCAAGTTAAAGAATACTTAAGTTGAATCAAAAGTAGATTGTAAAAGAATACTTGTATCTTTACAGAAAAAAAAAAAAGAAAAAGATAGTGAAATTTGATTAGATCGATAAATAATTAAACATAGTCTTAGTAATTGAGATGAATCGATATAAAAATGCAGTCTATTCTTTGCTCTTAATTCTTCTTTTACATTCTTAAGTTTTTTTACTATACTCGTTTTGAAAAGGTGGAATTTTCATTTAATACCTATTCAATATTATCAAAACACAATTCAAATGTACTTGTATCTCTGCAAAGAAAAGATAGTAGAACTTGATTAAGTTGATCAAGAATTAAACATAGTCTTAGTGATTAAGATAAATCAATATAAAAATACTACCTATTCTTTCCTCTTAATTCTTCTTTTGCACTCTTAAAATCTTTACTATGTTCCATGTTTCTCATTTTAAAAAGGTGTTGAATTTTCATTTAATACCTATTTAATATTATCAAAGCACAATTCAGATGTAAACCCTTAAACCCCTTAATGATTCTTGGTTAATACTTTGTCTAGTGGGATGAGATTATCCACTCATGGAATTTCTTAAATAGTTTTTTGAAATTCAGTGATTCCCAATCCTTCCCCTTCATCCACGTCTCATCTATACTAAAACCACCGCCGAAAAGAACCCAACCCAAACACAAAACCAAACACGTACCCTCATTCCTTCACCCCAAACAATTATCCTTTCTGATTCTAGTTCATACTTTGAATTTGTTATACCTAAACCATCCTTTTTGTTGATACTTATTTAGATGGTTGTTACAAATGCCATGAGAATTTTTCTTGTTCCACTTGAGAGAACATTGTTTAAGGATTAGTGTGATACCATGGGAAAATGTTGTTCCAAGGAACCCTTACCCTACCAAACCTTCAACAATCCTTACACCACAACCCTCAAAGTTCCTTCTGATGTGACTAGACCAAGACCTTAGACTGTCTTGAGTTTCAATAAACCATCACTTGGGCCTATTCCAGTGCATCCTACTTTTCTCCTTGTGTGGGTTGAGTACCCCAAATATGAGAAGTATGTGAAGCCACTTCATATGAAGCTTCTTCCAGGTGCAACTTCCAATTATAATGAGGATGATTAAGAAAAGATAGAACCAGAAAAAATTCTCTTAAGGCTTTATGATGTAAGTCTCAAGTTCAGACCCTTGGACCTCTTGGAAGCAGATTTCTTTCCAGACCCTTTACATGTTGCAGTGGTTGCAACTTAGGGGAACATCTACCGAAGAATCATATGCATATGTTTGACGTCGTATGAACTGCATGGAGATGTGAGTGCCTTCCATGACAATGGAAAAATTTAATATATAAAATTGACCTTCCTTACTTCAAAGAAGACATATCCTTATCTCATATCAGGACAAAATAAACCTATCAAAACACTATTTTTCTTTCCTCTTTGCTCTTATACTCATCAAACGACAAAAATATTAACGTCTCTTTTTCTTTTACCTTTCATTTTTCTCTCAATTTGAACCTAAAATTTCTTTATTTTAGAGTATATTTACTTGTTTATTTTCTGTAAACTACCACCTTATTTTCAATGTTGCATGTTTTTCACATTTGTATTATAAGCTACCACCTTATTTTCAATGTTGCATGCTCTGACTTTTTAATTATAAACTACCACCTTATTGTCAATGTTACATGTTTTCACATATTTGTATAGGAAACCCTAAAAATAACATTTTCTGCTACTGTTCCCTGTACATATCTTCGAAAGCCGAAAACAATTAAAAAAAATAATACAACTTTGTAATTAAAAAGTGAAAATAAAAAATAAAACAGAAATTGATCGAACAAAACAATTTTGTATAGAGACCCTTATGTTCTCTTACTTTTTATCCTATTTTCTTCCTCTAGACTTCTTTCCACATACGAACAAAACAAAGCATGCGTGTTAACTTTGAGAAGGGACTTTTTGACTAGACGTGTCAAAGTTGCACTTACCAAAAGAATCAAGTCTTGATTGAGATAGTGAGCAACTTGAACACCATCATATTTAAATATGCGTTTTACACTTGGTTTTCAAGAGTACTAATACATTAGAGGAAACATAGAAACAAGTCTTTATTTCTCCCTATACAATTTGTACCCCCACTTCTTACCAACTTCCAACCTCCAACCAGACTGAACTCTACCCATATTAACATTTTTCAGAAAGTAAAGAAAAAAAATGCTCAATCACAAGACACCAAAATGCAAAAATGAGCAAACCTCCCTCCCTCAGAAGGAAACTCCATTTGCTCAACTCTTTAGCCTTGACCTTGTGTACATAATCAGATCAAAATGCTCCTCCAAGCTTCTAAAGCTTGCTGGCAAAATAACTATGGTACAAAATCTACACTTCCTTCTGTTATCCTTCCTAAATATATGCAGCAGCACCAGCGACATCTTTGAAAATGTTAACACTTAACAGCAACCAATTTGGACTAAGCAACTCTGCATCTAATATAAATGTTAATTTATATCCAAGCCTGACTTTTGAGGACTCCCAGCAGAATCACTTGAATGTAACTCACTTGACCTTAATGCCTGAATGTTTAGATTGTTGGAGTTGGAAGGAAGATGCTCTTGTTGTACGGCCTACAGGAAAAGTAAGAATGAGCAGTTTGGCTATTATTCTATGTTGAAAAGGATCGAAAAGTTTAGTTAATTATAACCTCAATCATCATTACACTTGAGCAGACATCAAAACCGAAGGAAAAAAGAAAGATAATACTTTATCTCTTTTTATTTGTCGTTTAAGGTTAACTCGTGGATTAAGAAAGGTAATTAAGGTATATTTGGGTAAACTTATCTTGAAACAGTTCTAGAAGAGAAAAATATGAAGAAAAAAAATGAATTACGTTTCTTCACAAACTAAAATTAGCTTAAACATAAATTAATTTATAGAAGTTCTCTCTTATTAACTTCTCTAAAATCTTATTTTTTAACTGATGCATAGGTTAAATTAAGTTTATGGAGAAGCTTATTTCAATTTTCCTTATTTTTTTCTCCTCTTAGTATTAGAGAAGTTTATCTAATCATATCCCTAGTTTTCTTTGATTTGCCATTATTAATCTTCATGTTTTTATAATTATTTGAAATTTTCTAGCATGCCCTATATGTATCTTATTTATTCAATTAACATTTAATATATTTTTATTTATCTCCCTTATATGATAAGAATATAATTGAGAAAATAGAAACTAATGTAATGTCATCTTGGAATTTTAAAGTGACAGGTAAAAATAGAAGCAATTTTTTTTACAGAAGTAACAGGTGTAAACAAAAGGAGGTAGTAAAAAGCTGATAATTTCAAATATAAATTTCCTGTGAAGTTAATATAAAAAATGCTCGAGTCAATGTTTTCCAATTACCAGATCACCAGCCTCAGAACCTTCTGAGTGGAAGAGAATAGGGCGGCATCGTTTATCTTCATTCATCAAGCTTGAATTCTGGAAGTGGCTCACAAGGGCAGACTTCCCTTGGATTCGAGCATATGCCAAAGAAGCAACTTTTTCACTATTAAACTTCTCCCATTTCTTCCCGTTGAATGTCTGCAAAATCAGATACATTGCTGCCATTTAGTCAACAAGACAATTAATTTCTTAAATAAACGTCAGGATATCATTAACTGCTAAATTAGTTTTAATAAGATAAAGAAAATAACAGAAACTCTGACACCAACATACAATACAATTTTCACTCAGCAAAAAACAAAATTAGCAAAAAAATATTCCTATAAAAACCTCATAGAATGGAATAATAAGAGAGGGTGACAGCATGTTGATGAATGCATAGCCCACATTGCATTTATTCTGCATTTACAAGAAAAAAAAAATCAGCTTAACAAAAGTTGAAAAATAAAGTCGGGCCATACAGCAACATAGAAAAAATAAACAACTCCTAAAAGAGCAAATTATTTACCTTGAAGTCAATTGGCAGATAGAGAAAATCATAAGTACCCCTGTGATTTTCATCAATGGCAGCTAATAACATTTTTGAGGTGTATCTGCAAGTTATAAACAATTAATATATCATCTCAGAATCCATTAATATATATATATATATATATATATACACACAAACACACACACACACACACACACATATATATATATATGTGTGTGTGTGTGTGTATATATATATATATATATATATATATATATATATATATATATATATATATATATATATATATATATATATATATATATATATATATATATATATATATATATATATATATATATATATATATATATATATATATATATATATATATATATATATATATATATATATATATATATATATATATATATATATATATATATATATATATATATATATATATATATATATATATATATATATATATATATATATATATATATATATATATATATATATATATATATATATATATATATATATATATATATATATATATATACACACAAACACACACACACACACACACACATATATATATACATGGTTAATAAACACTATAGTTAAACATACTTGTTTGGGATATTCTTTATCATTAAGGTAGTTCTTGTATCTTCACCACTTTTAATCTTATCCAAGTCAAGTTGAAATTGTTTCTTGCTATCAACTTGGCTCCCATTGTTCTCTATCCATCGACTCCGAGCACGGTCAGCCAAACCCTCCAAAGTGGTAGGGGGCAGTCCTGGATAAGGACCATTTCCCAAATAGACAGGGCTAAGCCTAGGAGAAGATCTCATTCTGAAGTTTGATGAACCATTATCAGATATATTTCTCGGGATAGTAATGTTAGCATTAACAGATCCACCAACATTAACCATGTAATTTCCATCATTGTGCCCTAGACTCATGCCTCCATAACCAACATTATTCAAGAATGAAGTTTCAGATGACTCGGGATGGAAACCAAAGTGCCTCTCAAAAGGCAAACCTGATGGGGCAGAGCCAACATGATGATGATGATGATGCTGAGATGAACCAACAAAAGAACTATTCTGACTTGAGTAAGGGACGGCATGGTTCTTTCCATTGGATGTAAATGGATGCCCCCCCACAGATGATCTCGGCCAAGCTGAAGGTTTGCTATGCTCTGAGTAAGGGGTTGGGCTTCCCCATAGAAACTGTGGCCCAGACAAAGTTTCCACTGAGGATCCATTTGATGTTGATGGACCAAATGAGGACAATGCTCCACGATACTGGCTGAATTTTGGCTCTGGAAGTGAATGTGACTGAAAAGTAGCTCCATGTGATGAATTCATACTGGTAAATATGTGCTCTGCTTGACTGTTCCTTCCCAATTCATTGCCAATAGCAGCGGCCTTCACAGTGTTAGATACTTGTGGTTGCAAAATTGAAGCTAAACCAGGTAAATGATTGCCTGCTGTTGGGCTCATGATCCTAGAACCAGGAGAATGATTGATAGTTTGCATTGAATTCTGCTCAACAGGGCTGTTGAACTGTAACCAGTTACCTGCTATGAAAATTTTATCAACTTAATTCCATTATAGAGAACAAATGCGAGCAGAACATGGTTATGAACTCAATTACAAAAAGTAATGCTGCTAGAACAAAGATGCTGATGGAAAAAGGGATGTGTAGCATCTCAAAGAACCAAACCTGGAGGAGAGCTAGCTACAGGTGAACCCACTTGATATCGGAAGCTCCGAGATTCATCTTGGTCAAGCTCTTGATTTAATTGGAGCATCAAACTAAAAAGTGCAAGGAATCAATGGTTACAAGTCTATGCTTAAATGTATGACACCAGAAAATGAATGCGACAGCACAGAAATTACATAACAGTTATTGATGGAAAGTTTCCTGCCCTCAAACAATAGATTCAAAAAAGAATCTCTTATCTTACAAAACACATTAATCTTATGGCTAGTTTGGTATAAATCATTTTATATGAATGCCTACCAATAATAACAAATATCAAATAGTTTTGACAGTATTAGAGCTGTAACACTAGGTACCAGACAGATAGGCCCAACCATATCAATTGTGCTACTCTATTCGACTGTTCTCTCCTCAGTTTTGTTTTATATTTACACAATGCACAAAAATCAGCCAGCAGAATAGGTGTTTATATAAAGATAAAGAGAAAAACAAAAAAAGCAATAGGAAAATTATTAGTGTACGCACTTTCTACGAGCTCCTCCAGGCCGACTAGGTTCAAGCTTTATGCGTTTACCAGCTATGTCACTCCTGTTCAATGATTTAAGTGCTGCTTCTGCAGCTCTGACATCATAAAACTCAATAAACTTGTGATGCCTCTTGTGGGGAGTTTCCCTTATCTGAAGAGACATTGATAATTAATCTTATGTTTAAAAGACAGAACACACACAAACATGACAGGGATACAGAGCAGCAAGAAGGGATAAACCAATCACCTCTTTGACCTCTCCATAAGCCCCAAATATTTGGCGGAGGTCTTCATTTGAAACAGATGGATCTAAGTTGAATACTACCAATGTTCCTTGGTTGATATCCTTGTCTGATGGATTATCCTGGGTTGCGGAAGGAAAATAAAGCCAAGAGAATAACAATGTCAGGGCATTCAATCAATGAAAAGAATAAATCACAAGAACTTTTAAGTTGGTAAAAAAACCTTTGGTATGGAAAAGTGAATGTCTAGTTTCCTGCGCCGCAGAGGTTTGTTTTGTAATACACGCATGGCTGTTCGAGCAGCACGGATGTCATAATAGGATATCATTACAAATCCTCGATGTTTGCAGGCAGTATATAGGGTTCTAATATCACCATATTGCTGGGGGAAAAATTGAAACATCATTAATAATTGATCTTGTTTCAAATGAATTACTTAATAACAAAGATATGCAGATTATCCAAAAGAGACAGTGAAGAATTATGAGCAACATAAGTTGTAATTGTATTTATGGAGCATATGTAGAATACTAAAATATTAAAGCAAAAGTTGCACTAGCTTCTAGATTGAGCTCACCACCTCACCCTGACTTCAACTTACCTCAAAAAGAGCTCTCAGCTCTGAATCCTCCACATTACTGTTAATATTTCGAACAAATAATGTTCGAGAAGGATGCTCTCCATATGGATGTTCTCCAGCAACAGTTCCCACACCATTGGGAAAAGAATATTGGGGCAAACCATTGCCAACAGTACTATCAGCAAAACTTAACTTAGACATACCCACAGTGAGACTTTCCTGTGGATCAGTTTCAAGTTCCATACCTCCACCACTACCAAAAAGATCATATTCTTCCAAGTCCTCAAGGGAACCAGGCAAACCACTTAGGTCAAAATCATCCATTATACCAGCTAAAAGCTCCTCCTCATCATCAGGAAGCATGGTTCCAAGTGCATGAGTATCACCATCTTCAAGTGAACCATTGCCACCAGCATCTTGATGGAGCTTCTTAAAGCCGGATGAGATGTCATCAACAGATTGATAACCATTTTCAGTTTCATTCAAGTTCACTGCAGGTTAGCAAAACCAATCAAGATTCAACTGATTAGTTAAAAATGGAGTATACAAATGACAGAACAGTTAGAAAATAACCATCACATACATTTTTCATGTGGAAGAACAGGCAAAGAACTAGAAAAGAGGCTAGCATCGGATGAAGTATGGTAGGAATCAGATCCAGACAAAGCCCCCCATGCACCATTCCCTGATTTTCCAGGTATTTTTATAGCTGGGATCTTGGAAGGACCTATTAGTGATAAAAGGGTTATAGTTAATTCAACATAGTAACAAGTTAATAACCAAAAAAAATGAATTCAGAGAATTACCAAAAGATGAAGGATCAAACGACTGCCTCATTGCACCACCCTTCTGCCTTATTCAAAAAACAGTCATATATTGAGTTATTTTGCTTTTGCTATAGGCACATAAATTATAAATAAAAAAATTAAAAGATATGCCAATCATCATAACTTAGGAAAATGCTAATCACACATGAAATAACAATAATTATGAAAATTCTACACCTAGAAGGACAATGAGTTTTAGGTAAAATCTGCAACAATAACCAATTACACAGATAGAAGCAGAATTCCATCTGGTTTACATTTTTCCATTTTACCCCCTCTGGACAAATAAGGACTAACAATGCAGATATATAAAGCTTTAAACACCTGTTCCCCGGCCCCAAGGTTTCCAAAATAGCAAAAGGATCCGGCTCAGAGTGCCAAGGCACTTGTTAAGGAATCACAAAAAAAGTAATCGACAAATCACTTAATACATTAGATAGTTAATAAGCTTGACTTTTAACAACAAAAAGGGGAACTAACACCATTAGATCAAATTCAATCAATGCCCCATCCATAAGTAAGAGTACAAGCTAACATATTCAACCACTCAATACTCCTGATTCCCCACCCAAATTCAGCAGCAGTTAAACCACTGACAGTGAGCTTTTATAATGAAATGATAGATGGGTACAAAACCAACTTCAAATAATCAGGTTCAATGGGTTTTTGCATGATCAGTGTGGCAGGAAACAGTCTAACCATAGGGAGAAGAGATATACAGAGAGACACGGTTATTAATCTTCACAAGAATGTGAGAAAGTGAAATGAGAAGGATCCATGTCATAGCTCTAGTTCCTAAATCTCCTGGTAGGAACCCTTCACAAATGTGTTTTTCCACCTTCACAGTCAAGACTCAGGAGTGTTCCAATTCCACTGATTTTGGATGTCCTATTCAACTAGATTTGGCAGCAACAAAAGGCAAGTTTTTGATTCAACTTGAAATCCATGACAACTTTCAAAAAGAAAAAATCAAATCAAGATGCATGAGACAGCAACAGTGCCCCTGTTGCAAGTGGAGACAAATAAGGGCATATCAGACCCAATCAGACAGATGAACAGTCTAGCAATTAGCAAACTCGTGCAAAAGCCAGTTCTTCACAAGGGTTACTCTCCATTCAACAGATTCAATTCAGTGGCAGTGATAAGTCACCATCCACTTCAAGCATGTCCAGACAAAAGGAAACTTGTCCTGGGACTCCATAAATTCATGGCATCATGATAAAGATTTAGGTCCCCAAATAGACACTCCACAACCAAAGCTGGCAAAATAAAAAATAAAAAAAGGAATTAAAAGAAAGGCAGCAACTTTCCCACTAAATGTCAACATCCAAATAAGCAGCTTCAATATAATCCATCCATCAAAGAGCAATGATGGTGGCTTTCACAAAAGATATCAAATTGAAAGACCCCTTGTAGTTAGACTGGTGTCTGCGGACCATGATAACATAACCCAAGGCCAGACGAAAAATGCACAAAACAGTAACGGTTACCATTGACCAAAGCAAGTTATTAGCTATCATCATAACTACAAAACCAACCCACTTCTCATGACCCATTGGCACAAGCACCCCCCAACCCAAAACCACAAATTTCAGCACTTTCATGTTTCACCAACACCACACTACAGAGAAATCACAACCGAAACCCCACAATCCCCATAACCGCTGCACTCGAAGCAAATTCAACTCGAAAACTCGGGCCATCAATCCGATCAACCCCACAACAAAAACCGTCAAAAATACTAAAAATTTGGCATTGGAAAATCCAAAAACAGTGAATCAAAGGAAAACCCATTAAATACCTGAAAAGGGGGTGAGAAAACCCTAGTGCTTGAAGGGAAGATGAGAGACAGACGCTTCAGGGACACAACAAGTTGGTTCTTTGGACCCTAGAACCAAATGGGTATGCAACAAATTAAAGAAAAACGTGTTGCAACCAAAAGAGTGAAGAAAACAAGGTAGTGTGTGTATGTGTGTTGATGCAGTGCTTGTGATGGAAGCAGAAAAATGGGGAATCTTTAGAGAGAGGGAGAGAAGGGTGCAGAGCAAGAGCGTGGCGATGATTGGCCCTGACCCCAGAGAGTGAAAAGGAGCAGAGAATGATTGAGAGAAAGAAAGAGAAAGAGAAAGAGAGAGAAATTTTGCTTCAATGGTTTGGGACTTTGAGAAGGTGGAGGATTCAACTGTATTTAAAGGTTATTTGGTGTCCATAAAACTATGTCTTTGCATTTATTAAACTAAAAACTTGCCCAAAACAAAAGTTTAATAATTTATTGGACGAGGATAATGATAAATTGATAACAGATGTACAAGGTATTAATGTATTAATGTAGCATTGAAATATTGAACCCTGTGCCCTACTCCGAACTGCTTTCACTTGCCCAAAAGATAAGAACTGGGTTACGTGCACGTGCATCTCTATTTTAATTTCATTTCCCAACTAAATTCAAGTTTTCTAATGCATATGGATGTTCATATGCATAAATTAAATGATATTAAATGTATTTTTTTTATCTTTTAATTAAATTTTATATTTAAATATATTTTATAAATTTATTTTTTTCTTCAAATTTGAAATTATTGTTTTTAATTTTTTAAATTTTCAAAAATTTTATTTTAATCTTTTATATTAGATCACCGATAACATATCCGAAAGTGATAAATTAAGATGATTAAATAATATCAATTAGATTTAATGTAATATTTTCACTAATAAGAATATTAATAGGTAGAATTTATTCAATAATATTTAATAAATTTTTTAATAAAATTTAAATATAAAAAATAAAATAAAAAATTTTTAATTATAAAAATTAAGAATAATAATTTTAAATTTAAAAAATTAAAAATAAATTTAGTCTAAATTTGAGAGATTAAAAATATATTTAAACCATAATTTTTAATTATCATACTGTCATGTAAAAAATTTATATAATAATTTTATAACTTTGCATAATAAGTTTGTATTAATTATTTAGTTAAGTTCCTTAACATATACTACTGGCAAATACATTTGTATAAAAAAAAATATTTGTTACAATAAATTAATCCAAAGATACACGAGAATATTTAAAGTGCGAAATTGTTTGAGCATGATATTTCATGTTTAACTGTGTATTGCGTTATACGAGTAATATTATATTCTCCTTAATATAGAGGCGTTTGCGTATATTCAACGTATTAAAAATTGGTTAATCATATGATTGAATGAATCCTACTCAAGTTGTTTTGTTTGTCCGCCAGTTATTTTTCTTCCTACTTTATTTTAGTTTGAAACCACGCTTATAATTTAAGACTTTTTTAATGGTTCATAATTTAAGATGATGCACCAATAATATAAAATTAAATAAATAATTAATGTGTCATTTATATCCTAAATATTAATTAAAGCATGGAGTTAGACATTAAATGAATTCTAAATATATAAAAAAAGTTGTTAATTTAAGTGGTTATTCTACTTTCAAATCAAAGATTTAGATTTTATCTTTAACTTGAACATGGATTTTTATATGGATTGATCTTGTAGGAGTGAGTTATATCTTTTTATTAAATAAAAAATTTAGTATCTAAATTGTTGTTGTTAAAGTTTAATAATTATAATTTAACATACTATAAGAAAAAAATTATAATCTAACATCTAAGGATTAATTTTGCAAACTAATTTGTAGTGATTTTAAAAAGATTGGTGACAAATTAAATGATTATTTCTAAAGTTTAAGTTGTTAAAACAAAGTATTCTTATAATATATAATCAAATGAATTCTCTTGGAACATGATTTTAGGCTTAATTTAATTTTATAAAAAATAATTTAAAAAATCAATTAAAAAGGTGAGAATTATCAATATCATCTTATATAATCTATTTTAAGCATATCAGCAATTGATATAACATTTTAACACACAATCTTATGTTAATTGATTGCAAAATTAGATATTTGTACGTGGTTTGATAACAATTTGATATTGTAAATTTTCAAATAAGTCCCATGTGACACCTTGCTACCTCCAAAAAATTTATTATGAAACTTACTTAGAAAGTATGTTTAATTAAAAAGATAATAAAAAATGACTTTATTAATACATCTAATAAAAAGGGTTCACATATCATAAATAAAACATCGTCAAAGTAAAAAAGGAAATAAATAAGGAATTTGGATTCTCTCCTGCAATTTTCTCTCTCCAGCCTCCCTCCTGCAACATTAATAGCCATGGGATATATCTAATGGCTCAAATTTAATTTTATAATTAATGTAACTTCTTAAATGATTAAATTTGAGCCATTAGATATATCCAATGGCTATTAATGTTGCAGGAGAGAGGTTAGAGAGAGAAAATTGCAAGAGAGGATCCAAATTCATAAATAAGAGTTTATAAAACAATTCTTAAAATAACATCATAAAACCTCTATAATAGTTCTTTGAAACGACTCGACTGGTCTCTACACACGGCACGGCACACCAGAAACATCACGCAGAAAGGAACAAATGTATACATATAGTGTCTAGAATATATATATATATATACAAGATCTAAGTCTGAATAGAGTTAAAGTGTACAAAATACATCAATAACTACTACGCCAAGTAGCTAAAACAACAAAACATCCTAAAGGATCAGCTCTGTCTACCAACTGCAGACTTACCACCAGCCACCAATCTATCCCTGCTTTGCTCCCATACAAAAGTATGATCATCACAGTCCAAACACATGGAAACAACAAAAGGTAAGCTAGTGAAAAGAAAATCAACAGACATAAATAACAATATGAATGGAAAAAAACTACAGCTATCAGCACATCGATCAGCTTATAATACATCACAGCATTCAGCAATATCAACACCGCATAGCGGCAATACCAGCACTGCATAACAGCAATAACAACACCACTCTAGTGGCTATAACAGCACCGCTTAGCAGCAATAACAGCACCGACTTAGCGACTATAACAACACCACTTAGTGGCAAAACATCACATAGCACAGCTTAACAACCCAGCTAACACAGCTCACAACATAACACAGCACAACAAATCAGCATATAACACAGCTAAGTAGTATTCAGTAGAGCTTACTACTCACAACTTAGCTCAATAGTCTATAGTACAGCAATACTATAATTCATTTAAAAATCATCAATAACAGCCCATCTCAGCACGACAATATACATCTATTACAACTTAACATCATCATTCAGCATTATCTCCTAGTCAACACAGCATATTCATCAATTTCACCTTAATTCGGCATAAACAACATCTATCAACAATTTCAGTATGTAATTCCACCTCATCATACGCGCCCGACGCACTCATGGTCGCGCCCCGCGTGGCCCAACCAGAGAGTACCAGAGGTCAACGCGCTCGGCGCAAGAGTGCCTGCGCCCGGCGTGACCCAGCCAGAGAGCCCAAGGCTCACCCGTGCCTAGCACAATACTAATTGCGCCCAGCGCAACCCCAGGCAGAGACTCTGTGGAGTCTCATGCGCCCAGCGAGCCCTAACCCGCGCCCAGCGCGGGGAAGGCAGAGACCTCCCAAGGTCTCGCGCCCAGCGCAACTCAAATTGCGCCCAACGCCCCCATGGCAAAGACTCCAAAGGAGTCCCCATGCCCAGCGCGAAGAGGGTCGCGCTCAGCGTGGAGCCAGAACCCCAAAACATGCCACATATTGCCAGCGCGCTCGACGCGATCCATGTCATGTCCGGCATGGGCCATCCAAAGGCTCACCTTCGCAAGCTCGCTCGGCGCACATATCTTTGCGCCCGGCGAGCTTGCCTAAAAGGAGCCCCCAAGTGGTATCGCGCCCAGCGCGAAGAACGACGCTCAGCATGAAGCTCAGCAACAGCCTACCAAGTTCGAAAATCTGCCTAAAACCTGTAAAAATCCACTCATCCAGCACATGCAAACCAGCCAAAAGTTCACATTTTCATCCAAGAGTTTAAAAATATAATATTTTCACACATGCAATCATCAAACAAGAAATACCCAAATTTTTCCTCCAACACATCGAAAACCCTGAAAACATATTTTCACCAAATCAGCCATCAATCTCAGCCAAAATCATCCAACATCAAACCATCCATGAGTTGCTAAACTCATTTCCATCCAGCCATCAAGAAACTACCTTCCCTTACCTCGGTACAAGAAATCCGAGCTCCGGGACGAAGAAGACAAGGAATAAGGAGAAGAAATGGAGGAGAAGAAACTTCATACGGCTTAGCTAGAATTCCCAACACCTACTCTTGATCAGCACCTTGAATTCAAGAAAATGAGTGAAAAAGAGAGTTTGAGTGAGAGTTGAGAGGGAAAAAAAGAAATGAGTAGAGGAAAAGGAAATAGGAACGGGGGTCTCACAACCTCCCCAACAACAAGAGTTTTCGTCCCCGAAAACAGACTTACTTGGGAAAAGAAACGAATACCGCTCCCTACACTGCTGTTCCACCTCTCAAGTAGCCTCACCGGTAGCTGCATCCCACAACACCTTCACCAGAGCAATAGGCTTGCCCTTTAGCTCCTTCAGCTTATGATCAACCACAACTACTGGCAACTTCTCAAATGTCAAATTCTCCTTCACCTGCACATCATCCAGCTCCACCATATGACTCGGGTCATGGACATACTTCCTCAGCTGGGACACATGAAATACATCGTGTAGGTTTGAAAGAGACGGTGGCAAAGCCAACCGATAAGCAACCGGACCCACACGTTGTATGATCTGATAGGGACCAACAAACCTCGGTGTCAACTTCCTTGCCTTTAGCGCTCTACCCACACCAGAAGTCGGGGTCACCATCAGAAACACATGTTCCCATTCAGCAAACTCCAAAGGCTTGCGTCTTTTATCAGCATAAGATTTCTGCCTACTATGAGCGGTCTTCATCTTCTCCTGAATCATCTTCACTTTCTCAATAGTCTATAGGATCAGCTCCGGCCCCACAACCACTGATTCACCATCCTGATACCAGCACAGAGGAGTCCTACATCTTCTGCCATACAAGGCTTCAAACGGCGCCATCCCAATACTAGCATGAAAGCTATTATTGTACGTGAACTCAACCAGCGGTAGGACATCCTCCCAGCTTCCCAAGTGGTCTAACACACAAGCCCTCAGCAAATCCTCCAAGGATTGGATTGTCCTCTCTGACTGACCATCCGTCTGTGGATGATAAGCAGAACTCAGC